AGTCTTAATTTCGATATATATCTCGTAGTATATATAACCCTCTCTCGCTAAGTGTGTAACTCGTTTGTCTGATTGCTCGTTAATGTGTGATCCAGAGAAGTCCCAACGCTCCACAAACACGCGTATCCGTAGGAGAAGAGACCACATCACGTATTGGATCCAACTTACTTAATGGTGAATTAATGAAACCTATTTATTAACAGCCAGCATGTACCTCTAATTAAGTGACGTAAAAATCGCTTTTCATATTAGGAAGATCAGGAATAACAAACTGCTTATTTTTCTTCTGCGCAACAAAAGAAGGTTAAGGATTTTCGGCGACGAAAACAGTTGAGATCGAAAGAACAGCTTCACTACGAACGAAAGTAGCGACTTTCCCCTAACTATTCTATCATTGTTTCCAAGTACTGTACACTAGTGAAGAGAATTTTAAAGGCGGCAGGGTACCTGATTTATGAAGAATGAATTGGTCTTTAATCAATTTGACTGCTTTGGAAAATTTCGCCCATAAGTACAGTAGTCTTCGCTGAGCGATGGCTCCCTTGTTCAGAATCTTTGATTGAATTCGAGTGGTGCGCACCTAGGACATGGACTGTACAGCACTGGGCACTTGGTGTTCCAGTAATTTTAATTGTATTAAGGGCAACAGCACAAATGCATGAAATAGCCTTGCATTAGGTAGGTGTGAAATCCCTTTCCTATGTAGCACACCAGCACTAGAGAAACTTAAGAGCGCCCTTTGCCCGAGTCGTCCGAATGGAAAGAGAAAAGAAGTCCAATGTCTTCAACGAGAAGAGGGATTCATTTGTGTTAAAATGGAATGGGAGAAAGAGTGGGTCCAGTACACCATCCCAAAACGCCACTATTGTGCTCTTTGGTGCCGTGCTGTGTATTAGAACGGCTTGGATGTATTTGATACGGTACGATTTCAGCCGTGATAGAAGTTGGCAGGGCAATTAAATCGGCCGTTTTCTTGTCACTGGAACATGGATCTCACTTTATCCGCTACGAATTTCGGTTTCCAATGAGCATTTTTATAGTTTCTTCACTTAGGATGTCCTTCGCCGAGTTCTGAAAATACACTGATGCTGTGTACCGTGCGAATTTATCAGAAAGCGTTTTAGAGCAAGAAATTTGCGTCCAGATCTATAAACTGCACTTCGACACCGTACCGTCAGCCGGATGCATAATCGGTGTCGTTTATTCAAATAGACTGTTCTACAACTTTTCCAAATTCTTTGCATCCTATCCTCAATAGCTTGCATCGGCCACGCTTGAAGCTGCATCGCATGCGTCGTGTGACACTTTGTACGTGTGCACACGTACCCATGGTCGATGTTAGCGACGTCAGACCACGTGATCTGTTTGTCACCGACTACGCTGTTACGGTGACTAACGTAGCCGTGGTTAACTCCATAGGCATGCCAAGTTGAGTGGAACCGTGCAATAGTTGCAACAACTCGCTCTGCTCCGAATGTCACAAAAGGCATTCGTACGCGGCACTCGACGAAGAAAACACTAGAGAAATGAAGAGGGACACGACTGGAAGCATGTTGCACACACTGAACGTAAACCTGATTGAGGTTCATATCAACCAGTTTGCAAATCAGATAGTCGTCCACATGCCCGGAAAAGCACTACACTGCAGTTTCAGCCTGTTGGGCATCGTCAGTAGTGCGTATCTATCGGATCCATCAAGATTTTAACCAATGACCACCAGCGGCTTGAACCGCCAGTCAGCAGCTTATGTAAACATGATTCCCTGTCGCAGTTGGATAAAAAGTTTGGAATCAACCGGACAAACAGAAAAGCGTGCTGGAGGACACCGAGCGTCTCTGACAGAAAGTGATTGATTGTCTGGTAACATGGGTGTCGAAAGAACCCACTGTCACTCTCCAAACACTACATCTGCGGTTGTAGACAGAGTTAGACGTTTTGGTAAGCGTGAGTACAACTGCGTGCAGTTGGATGGACGGATAATTAGTATGAAGAAGCTGCGAGCAGTTCCGTAATCAGCCAACAAACATGAGAACAAACTGCGAAAAGCCCACGTTTTGGCATTGCTGCAATCTGAGACCGAAGGGAAAAAGTCGTGTGGATTGATGAAACCAATTTCAATCTCTTTTGCGCACGCACCATGGGGCGTTCGTCGCGTGGATCTCCTACTCAATGTGCATTGCTCAACAGTCGAGGCCAAAATCTGCATCTGGTTGGAGCGTTGACGAGAGATTGATTAATAGACTATACCATCATGAGAGGAAGCTTCAGTAAGGAAAGGGGCCCGGCGTGGTTGTGTCGACTGCTGGATGCCAGAGGCTCGATTTTCATCGAAATCTGCCTCATGATCTGAGATAACGCGCTATTCCACAAGAATTTGGAACGCGTATGCCAGGAGGAATCGTACCTTCCGGACAGCCTCCTGCATCTGGTGCAGTATTCTCCATCACGGAATCCCATTGAGTGAACCTGGAGCAAAATAAAAGCTTTTGTGAAGCAAATCATGAAGCAATATTCCGAGATGCTTCAGGGAGAACTTGAAGGTGTACTAAGCAAGAGCGAGTGCAGAATGCGCTTCTTGGAGCGAATTGTGTCCGATGCACAAACCTGCGTCAGGCCCCAGCACTGCCAACAAATGATCGGTCATGTAAGATGGAATTACGCTCGTACTATGTATTGCATGGATTTGTAGATCTTCCTTTTTGTTGACATAAATTTTGATGATTTGAAATGATATCACCACCTTTATATATCGCTAGTTCATAGGTTCGACATTCAGACTAAATGTTGGGGCACGGTTTGCGCATGCATCCAGTGTGACGTTGCGAGACAACCATAGGATAGCCTTATAATTCAAAAGAGTCGGAACGGCAACTGCAGTGATGCTACTGGTGAGAAACCTGAACGCGTGCCAATAATATGTCTTTACACACTGCGCATTGCCATGAAGGTTGATCACGGGCCTGCGGAACCTTACGTCTAAGGTTCTTGCAGCCGGCAATCAAGTTTACGTTATGTGTGCAACATGCTTTCAGTCGTGTCCCTCTTCATTTCTCTAATATTATCGCCGAGTGCCGCGTACGAGTGCCTTTCGTGACATTCGGAGCTGAGCAAGCTGCTGCACCAACTGAACGGTTCCACTCAACTTGCGGGCCTATGGAGTTAACCACTGCTACGTAGTCACCGTAACAGTGCAGTGATGACAAAGAGATCACGTGGTCTCACGTCGCCAACACGGAATATGGGCACGTGTACACACGTACAACGTGTCACATTACGCATGCGATGCAGCTTCAAGCGTGACCGACGCAAGCATATAAATATAGGATGCATCCTTACTGTTGTTTAGGAACTTTCGCAGTGGCTATTGTAAAGTGCTGATAAGTATTTACCCATTTGGATGCATGAAAGTTATGTTGACTTGAATTAAATGCAAGATGACATAAGCATGATCATTAAAGCGGGATAAACCTTTATGCCGCGATAAGCCATAAACAAAGCATTCACCAGTCTCTCCCTAAGGTCACATGATCCAAAAGCTCAAAATATCACGCCTGGCAGGATTTACCACCAGAAAACCCGCGAAGGAATTAGTGCATAGGGTTACGGCGTAAAAGCAGGTCGTGTTTTTGCTCTGACTATCTTTTACACTGTTTGGACATTTACTACGCAGCAGTTAAGGTTGACTTTCAGTATCTTGGTGACTACCACGTTTATGTCTTAACCTAAGTGCATGTTCTTTGTGACTTATGGAATGCATCATGCTGAGGTTGATGCTGTGTTCATTATGCGTCTTCAAAGCATACTAAACCAGCTTATACTTAATGTAGGTCCTTGTAATCCGGATAAAAGATATTCCTCGTTATTTGGTTTCTTCAATTATGTTAATCTGGTGCATATTCTGTTCCAGTTTTGTGTGTTTGGTTTCTGTTAAGTTCTAGGTTGGATGCTTGATATCCCCAGTGTGCATCCAGAACTATAGCTCGATTTGGAGCACCGACCATGTACTTGTATGGGCTGACATGCGGATGCCTTTTAACGGACTCCCACGACGACGTTGTGAACGCATTGACACCAGCCAACAGACAAAATCAGTTGTTCTGAATGCCTATCAAAGTACGCTGAGATGCGAGTTGAGTAAGCGCTCATGGGAGACAACTGAAAGTCACTGGTCGCATGTTCACCAGACCTTACTAGCAGCAAGCAAATCCTCATGTTGTAAGTCTAATAGCCAACATGGTCATTGGCTCTCTTCTCGGTCTTTGGAACTTATCGATGCTCGCCGGCATATTCCGGCTGGAAGCGAACACAACGAAACTCACAAAGAGTTCCGGGCAAAACTCCATGCTAGCCTGAAGAGAGACCGCGAATCCTCGTGGTCTCTTCGTGCGCCAGAGATGGAAGTGGTCGCTGCCCTTGGTAACCATTGGAAGTTAGTCCGTCTGATACGGGAAACGGGTAGCAGGATACCTGGTGTTAGTGAAACAATTTGTGAGGAGATTGGACAGCCTATCCACAATTTTTCGAAACGTTTAGAGCGTTGGGCTGAGCATTTAGAAAACAATTTAATCGGCCGACATTACTCGATTCCTCACCGGTCAGTGATTGCCCTGTTCCGTGGGCTGTCCCTTTGGATCCGCCCTGTCGCTCAGAAGTAGATCGTGAGATCGGACTGTTGAAGTTGAACAAAGCCGCGGGACCAGATGATCTTCATCCAGCCCGCTTCAAATTCTGGGGCTCTGCTCTTGTTGATGATTTAGATGAATTACTAGTGAAACCGTGGGAGTAGAAAACTGCCCCATTCGACTGGAGCCGCTCTGTTATTGTTCCCATCTGCAAAGGAAGCTAACGCTCGGAATGCAGCAACCATAGAGGGGTCAGTCTGATCCCCATCGCCTCCAAATTACTTGTCGCCGTAATCCATCGCAGACTGACTGGCACTCGTGAAAGCCAGATTCGTGAGGAGCAAGCCGGATTTCGTTGGGGTCGTGGCTGCATCGACTGCATCTTCACTTTGCGTCAGTTTTTGGAGCGCCGTCACACATAGTCTTGTTCCTCGACATTAAAGTACTTTGGATTGGGTTGGTGGATGTGCACTTTGGAACTGTCTATTCAGGAAAGGTGTGCCCGAGAAATATGTAAATATTATCCGAGCATTATACGCGTTTAGCAGGGGCAGAGTGAGGGCTTACGGCAAGCTGTCGCCACCCTTCAATATCTCCAGCGGTGTGAGACAAGGATGCCCGCTGTCACCTTTCCTCTTCAACTTCCCTATTGACGAAGTCATGAAAATTTCATTTACAGGACATAACTTGGAAGGAGTTCATCTGCTCCCACGAGAACGACTTCTTGACTTGGAGTATGCAGACGACATTGCCCTCATCTGTGACAGCTCCCAAATGTGGCAAGCTGCACTGAACAGATTAGCACTGGCTGTCAGCCAGTTCGGGATTTGCTTTGCACCATCAAAGTGCAAACCTTTTCTCCAAGGTTGCCAGGGATTGCCTCCTACACTGGGTCTTAGTGGGGATCACCTAGAAGTCGTTGAGAAATTCAACTACCTGGGAAGTTTTATCAGCGCCCTTGGGATTGAAGATGAGATCACGAACCGTATAGCAAAAACTCAAAGTGCTTTTGCTAGTCTTCGCCACCGATGACGGCGGCGCGACATCACTATCGCTCTGAAAGGTAGAGTCTACAATGCAGCGGTGCGTTCGACATTACTGTACGGTTGCCAAATCTGGCCCCCTAGTTCAGCGGACATAAATAGGTTAGTTACGTCCGATCGTCGGTGCCTTCGCAGTTTGGCTCACATCTGTTGGGAACACCGCTTGAGTAACGTGCGTGTTCGACGCATTGTTTACGACACAGGACAAAGAACTGAACCTCTCAGCACCGT